CTTTCTTTCTTTCTTTCTTTCTTTCTTTCTTTCTTTCTTTCTTTCTTTCTTTCTTTCTTTCTTTCTTTCTCAGGATGTGCCAAACTAGTAGATTTTTTTCACTTCTAATAATGTAGCAACATCTTGGATGGTTTCTTTTCTGTTTTCGCAGCTTAAGGATCGCTTGTTTTTACCTGTTCCAAATGCAAGCYCCACACCTCAAATCAACTCCAGGCCTTTTATCTGCTTAATTGAGAATGACAAAACAAAGGAAATGCCCACAGCTTTGCTTGAAGGCGCTGAACTCCTACACCCTTTGTCCAATTTTAATGCGGATATATTCAAATGAATAATGTCCATGACCATTATATAACTATAACTTGAATATGTTTCAGTAAACAGGTAAAAAAAGAACAAACCTTATGGTCCAAATAGATATGGACCTAACTGTAACTGTACATAAATAACAGCCACTTTTTACCAGAACCACAACCACATAGGAGTCTGCACTCAAGGTATCTTTTGTTGTATTATTGCTTCAAACATTTTGTATTCATATTTATTAAAGAGTACAACTGTTATACATGCATTTGAACATGAAAAATGTTAAGTTACTGAACTGTTTGTTGGTTTAAACATACAAACATTTGTAAAATGTCATTTTTATTACATYTGGGTAAGTGTGCAGCACTWTGTGGTCCTCAGAYAGTGACAACAAAAATTGTGACTTCTTCCATCATTTCAGTTGTCTCAGTCTTTAATTCATTGTTGAAGTGAAGTGCAGTAATCCTAGAAMCATGACAGAAAAAACAAGATACTGCTTAAAGTTCAACTACGTATTTTTCTTTCAAATGTACAACATTTTGCAACTGTGTTTCCTGTACCATACTTCCAAATATAAACAGTAGATGGGCAAAAACAACTGCATTGCTATCTGAATTTTATGGTACAAGAATCAGTCACTGCTGCTGTCACTGTATCTGCTGACAACTATCATATTCTTGTACTCCACCACATGACCTGCTTACTGCCTTCTCAAGCTGTCCACCCACATGGCAGCTGGCATATTGTAATAACACTAGGAGATGGTCCAGTTTGGCTCATGAGGAAAGAGACATGGTTGTTATCAACAGGAACAGGAGGGTCTGCATCAGTGTGCCAAAAAAGAAAAGAAAATATATAGTCCCGATTGTGCATTTGTACATTCAAAGACAAACACCGTCATTGACTCTGACCCTCTGATGTTGACTTTTGGCAAATTACTTCAACTGTCAGGCCTGAAGCAGGAGCTACAAACCACGAAAACAAGTCTAAATTTCTCTAGAGGACGAATAAGTAAATTATCTAAGCTTTACTTGTAGAGTAGATGTAAGGAAACCCGAGGGAAACAATGAAAGAAAGTGGGAAAAGTTATAAGCATGTGAAGAGTGGGAAAAAAAGGTGGATCAAAAATAAACAGGCATGTTTTCTCCCCCTTAGATCTTCAACTTAGTCTCTGCTGATTCAGTCTCCCACTTGCTGACAGAATGGCTCAAAGCCCTACATCACACCAACCTCTTCAAATATTTAAACATTACTYAAGTCATCTTCTTTTACTTGTTTTTTTCCTCCGTTAGACAGGGAGAGAGGCAGGGGGGGGGCCACATATCCCCGATTAATAATCCCACAGACTCGAGTGAACGGCAGTTAGGAAATAAGACCATACACTTCCCACAGACTGATTGAGTCATTTATTCACATCACAGAGTCATATCTAATAAACCAGCATGTGGTTGCACTTTTATGTATATGTGCATGTGTGTGTATGGTCATTTTGCTTTCACCTTGTTGGACTCTTTCAAGGCTGACAGCTCCCTGTGCTACCTGCACAAGTTTAGATTAGAGTGGTCAACAGAGGGTTGAAATGACTGAAATCTGCTGATGTTCAGCCTCAAAAAGAGGTGTTGCCAGGAGTGTGCAACTCTTAACTTATTCTTATGAAAACTGAGCAAATCAAATGTAAAACACTTCCAAAATACAATGCAACTCTCTGTTGTTGCAGGTTCATGTGTTTGTTTTTCACTTTCGTTCTGACAGGAAATGGCATCATTCATACTGAAATGAAGTCCTGTTATAATAATAACAAATATTTACAAGTCAAAGCTCTAAGTATTTTGAACAAGGAGCGTAAAGTAACCTCAAGCTCACTGTGTCAGTTTTAATGTTGATCATTTTATTTTGTAGATGTTTAAACAGAAACGTGATTGCCATGATTTATCAAGCCACAGGATGTAATGAAACATCTGACTTTAAAAGGATAATCAAGAGCTGTTCAAATAAACAAACTAATTACTATGTTTCACTTTTTTTTTTCATTCAATTTGGCTTGGTATAAAACCACCTACTG